GTACGTGCACACGCACGCACGCATGTGTACGTGCACACGCACGCACGCACGCACGCACGCGTAAGTGCACACGCACGCACGCACGTGTACCTGCACGCGCACGCGCGCACGCACGCACGCATGTGTACGTGCACACGCACGCACGTGCACACGCACGCACGCCGCACGTGTACGTGCACACACACACACACACGCAAGCACGTGTACGTGCACACGCACGCACGCACGTGTATGTGCCACACGCACGCACGCACGCACGCGTACGTGCACACGCACGCACGAACGCACGCATGCACGAACGAACGTGTATCTGCACACGCACGCACGCACGCACGCATGCACTAACGAACGCGATGTACGTGCACACGACTGGTATCCAACGCACGCACGCACCGTACCGTGCACACCGCACGCACGCATGTGTACGTGCAGTCACGCACGCACGCACGCCCGCATGTGCACACGAACAAACGCCCGCACGTGTACGTGCACACGGCACGCACGCACAGCACGTGTACGTGCACACGCAGGCACACACGTGTAACGTGCACAACGACGCTAAGCCACGTACGTGCGCCAGCGCAAGCACGCGGAGCACGGCGCCAACGCACGCAACGCACGGCACACGACCGGCAACGGTGTAGCGTGCACCGACGCACGGCCCGCAGTGTACAACGCCCGCACGACGCAAAAGTGTACTGCTAACGCACGCACGCCAGTGACGTGCACACCACGCACGCCATGTGTATCTCACACGGACCACGCGCACGGCGCACGCGTGCGTGACAGGTCACGCAACCCGGCACTGTACGTACACACGCACGCACAGATGCGCACGCACCACGTGTAGCGTGCACAACGAATAGCACGCACTATGTACTGCACACGGGCCCACGCACGCACGCGTACGTACAGCGACGCAACGCAGACGCCACGCACGCGTACGTGCACACGCAACCCATGTTACGTGGCAGACGAACCACCACGTGTACGGGCAAAA